ACACTACATAAGCATAAATAGTAATGAAGATTACACTGCATAAAATAAACAAATCGTCAAAATTGAATATCGTTAATAATTTGTTTATTATTTATATATGGGGGCGTCAATAGAAACGAAGCAAATAGTTTTTAAGTAATTTTTTTTTAAAAATTTGAATTAAAATATCTCAACAACTATCAAACCAGTCTTGAAAATTTCAATAACTATATAGAATTAAAATAAAAGGTTTTTTTTATCAAGTTTGGTTTAATAATTGTTGAGATATTTTTTAATTTGAAGTTTAAAAAATTTTACTTAGAAACAATTTGCTTGATTTCTATTGACGCCCCATATGCTTGTTTGATTAATATTATACATTCATATTTTATATTTATAAGTTTAAAGGTTTCATGCAATCGAAAGATAGTAAACTTAAAGTATATGGGATAACTGAAGATACTGCAACAAACGAGTATATATTAGTTGTTGATTTTATAGGTACTCGGATTGCGGAAAATGTACAAATTGCAATCGCAATAATACATCTCTATATTTGTGTCGAACATGTGACCCTCAGAAAGTAACGCAAGGATGGACAAGTGGAAATAAGGATATCGATGATTGTATTAAAGAATTTCAACTTAAAGCCACATCTTATAAAGATGTAATAGAGTGGATTCCTTTTAATAGATTAGATAATGTTCAAAAGATTGGGGATATATTTTTAGCTACCTGGTTAGATAGAAAAGATAGAATACTATTTCGAAGTTTTGGTGATGAATCTATAGTGGAACTTAAAATATTACATGATCCTCAAAATTTATCAGATTTTTTGATCAGAGTAAGTTAAAATTATTTTTTTCACTGCATACGATTCATTTAATTTAAAATGTATTTTATTCATTTATAAGTTAAAAGATCTCATACAACCAAAAGATAATAAAATTAAAATATATGGGCTAACTCAAAACATAGCAACAAATGAGTATATGTTAGTATTCGATGAATTTGGTACTAAAAGAGATTTTTCTTATGGAAAATGCGCAAATTGCAACCGAAATAACACATCGCTAGCTTGGTGTCAAACATGTGACCCCAGAAAACAACACAAGATTGGATAAGTGGAAATAAGAATGTCGATGATTGTATTAAAGAGTTTCAACTTAAAGTCACATCTTATGAAAATGTAATCGAATGGATTCCTTTTACTAGATTAGATAATGTACAAAAAATTGGTGAAGGGGGATTTGGCTCAGTGTTTTCAGCAACGTGGTTAGATGGTAAAAGAATAGTTTTAAATAATAGCAATCAATCACGTACGCCATCATATATAGTTGCACTTAAGACATTACCTGGTTCGCAAAAGAATTTTTTAAGAGAAGTAAGTTAAATGATTTATTCACATCTAACAAAGTAAATTATTAATATTATAAACTTTATTATATTTAACAAGTTTAGAAGCTTTGCAGAGTTTAGACTAGTGGGTAGCAACCTTGAGATTTATGGAATAACTCAAAACACAAACAATAATGAATATTTGATGGTATTTCAATATGCAAATAAAGGAAGTCTTCATAAGTTCTTATCATCAAATTTTAAGGAACTTAGTTGGAAAAATAAATTAAAACAACTTGTCGATATATCAAAAAATTTAGAAAAAGTTCACGAATCAGAATATGTTCATGGAGATTTTCATAGTGGCAATATATTGCAAAATCAATATATCAACGGCGATTTAATGTCTTATATCACAGATCTAGGATTATCTAGAAAAAAAGATGAATCAGATTTAGAGGATGGTATTTATGGCGTTTTACCTTATGTTGCCCCAGAAGTGTTACATAAACGGCCATATACAATAGCAGCAGATATTTATAGTTTTGGTATTATTATGACTGAAATGTCTACGGGAAGACTACCTCATCATGATACTGAGTACGACGAAGCGTTAGCTATTCAAATATGCAATGGATTACGTCCCGAATTTACTAAAGGCACTCCTGAATGCTATATCCAATTAGCAAATCAATGTATGGATGCTAATCCTTCTAATAGACCAACTGCATCTGATATTTACAATAAATTATTAAGATGGCATTTTGTAGTAGACAATGGTACTATAATGAATGAGGATGAATTAAAAATATTAAAAGCATTCCAGTCTGCAGATGAAATTATTCCAACGTTATCAACTGAATTATCAATTTGTCCTAAAGATAAACTTACTAGTAAACTGCTTAACTTTAAAAATCTTTCTGAACCAATTAATTCTTCATTTATTTCACCTTTGAGATTGCCAAAATTTTATGGTAAATAACGATATTTATTACAATATATCCAGTTTTTGATTATTAAAAATTTTATTTATTTTTAATTTTTTAGATTCTACTACTTTCGATTTTTCGATTTCTGAAGACTGAAATAATGATATTAAATAATATTTCACGTACATTAATTTGTAAAAAATAAATATATAGCAGATTATTATAGGTTTTTACACTTCATACCAACTGACCTAGGGAAGTTTCATTATCATGTGATTTTTTTAGCAGGAGAGTTTTACTATGTGTATTTACAAAAAATCAGCTGATTTACTACATACAATATATTTAACAATGTACTGTCAATATTTAACTGTATAATTTTTTATTATTATTAAAATTAGGGATTATAGTTTAACTTAGAGTACCAATACTAATTATTTAGTTATTTTTTTGAAAAATGTTCAACGCGTTCAGTGCATCATAACGCATTTTTTTAGCTCTAGTAAACATATATAAATCCGCTATTCCAATACATTTTAGTAAAGATATCAATGTGTCGATGATATAATCTCATATTTCTGCTTAGCAATTTCCATTAATTCTGCAAATTCACCACTTCTATCACATATTCCTCTAAACCACCCATTAGATTTTTGCATCAATAAATATGGAATATCAAATTCAACTACATTTCCAGCATCTAATTTTGAAGAGAAAAATTAATATTTCAAACTATTAAAATTTTCTTTGAAAAAAAAAACACATACCCATAACCAAAATTTTATCACAGTCTATGACAGTTCGTAATCTATGTGCAACAATGATAACAGTACTATCCTTAAACTCTTCTCTAAGTGTATTCTGTATTAGATGATCAATTTGGAAATCTATACTCGCAGTAGCTTCATCCATTATTATCAATTTGGAATGACGAACTAGTGCTCTGGCCATTGCAATCAATTGTTGTTGACCTTGGGAAAAATTAGATCTATTTTCTTTAACAGGGAAGTCAAGCGTTATTGGTTCTTGTTTGTCACTTTTCTGGTCTGAAATAGAATAAATAACTTCTGATTCTTCTTTTTCAGAAGCAGGGATGTAATTTTTAATTAAGTGTACACTATGAAGTGCATTCCATAACTCAAGATCACTATGTTCATTGAATGGGTCCAAGTTGCTTCTATTTTTTTTTTTAAAAAAATGGAATTCAATAATCAGTTTAAAAAGGCTCTGATGATAAATATGTAGTATCGAGACTTTTATTACCTTATAGTACCATTAAATAGTACGGGATCCTGAGGTATAATAGTAATATTACTTCTAAGCTCTCTTAGTCCAATAGTACTAATATCAACATTATCTACTGTATTACAATACTTCCAGAAGTTGCTTCAACAAATCTAAAGAATGAAATTGCCAATGTTGATTTTCCACTTCCTATTATTTAAGAGAAATTAATATTTCAAAGTTTGGTGATTCTCAAACTGCAGTCTAAAATTTACCAGTTCAACCAACAATTCCAATCCTTTCAGAAGCCATGATATCAACTGAGATGCTTTTCAAAATTAGAGGACTATCAATTCTATATTTAATTTTCAAATTTTTATATAAATTTCTCCACGAGCTGGCCATCCTGCTGGTGGTCTGTTTTCTGGTGTTATATTTTTAGCTTCTACTTCTATCTTCTCACTATAGTGAACTAAACGTTCCACTGAGTTCATATTTGCCTCCTGTTATTATATATAATGAAAAAATCAAAATATATTATTACATAAAATGTTATTTTATCTACTTACCACTTCGCAAAATTGCTTAACACACCAATTAAAGCTTATAGTAACTTGAAGCGCATAAGCCAATACTAATCCGATAATTGAAGATTATAAAGTTATTTGATGCTAACCTTATTTTTTAGATTTTTATCTTATCCTATGAGAGCAGCAATTTTTGGCGATTCAATAAATCAAAATTGTTAAAGAGGGTATTATTTTTTGAGCGAATAAATGCATAAAACGATATGCAGGGTGATGAATGACGTATTGGTCTTCGTGTCGATAAGTAGTATTAGAAGATATAAATAGAAATTTCGATATGTAACATGCTATATTTATAAGTTTTTTATTTAAGATTATTTTCAATAATTTATTAACAGAATTCATATAATATTGTTAAAATTAAATATATGCAAACTTAATAGTTATCATTAATAATCAAATTTTGTAATCCACTATTTAAAATTGAACTATTATGAGATATACTGTAAATTTGCTCCCTCTATTAAACATCTCCATGTTCGATACTTCAATGTTTTCAAGTATTGCAAAAACTCCATTATTTTTTGGTCTTAATTGTTGGATTGAAAGGCCCATATCTGCAATATATGCACTATATAAATTATCTTGCAAAATATTTCCACTATGTAAATCTCTATGAATAAATCCTTGTGAATGAATGGCCTTAAGATCAAAAGATATGCTAATAAGCTGTTTATATTGACTGGGAGCCTTTTCAGCACTCCCAGTAAGTGATTATAGTTAAATTTGTATTACTTTTATATAAAGGATATAGCTAAACTCTTTTAACGGTTTTTGTTTACTTAATTTTTGGGATCTACGGGAAAGAGTTTTATATCTGCAGATTTTTGATAACAAATAAATGCTTTATATTCATCCTTTTCAACTCCAATTCCAATTCAATAACATTCTGCAACATTATGCTCAACTAGAGTTATCCATCTTTGCAGATATTTGATAATAAATGAATGACTTATGTCCATTCTTTTCAACCCTAATTCTATTAATATAACAATCTGCAACATTATATGCTCCACTCTTGTAGGCTATTTCTGCAGATTTTTGATAATAAATGAATGTCATATTTATCTTTTTCCTTCATTGTAGTAATATCCAACATTATATTTTCCGCCTGCATCACCTATCTCTGAAGATTTTGATAATAATTGATATTTTATGTTCATCTTCTTCAACTCCAATTCCTTTGTCATAGCAACATCCAACATTATATGTTCCGCTAATGCCACCTACCTCTGCAGATTTTTGATAATTAATGAATACCTTATGCTCATCCTTTTCAACTCCAATTCCTTTTTCAAAACAAACACTGCTGAAAAATATTTTATAAAAATCTTCTATCTCAGCAGACTGTTGATAATAGTTGAATGCCTTAAGTTCATCCTTTTCAACCCATTTATCATAACGATAGCAGCTTGCAAGAATGCAATGAATTAAAGGATTGGTTTCATCACTTAAGCAAAATTAACAAGATTAATTTGATTTTGGTTCTTTATTAGAAATTATTCTAATGTATTAAGAATTGAATGAGAATTTTTTCCTTTCGATTTTTCTTCATTATAAATATTACACATTTTCTCAACAATTTTATTTAGAAAATTCTGTGAAAAATCCTGTAAACTTTTATCACCTAAATTCAATTGGGTGACATTGTTCTAGTTGAGTAATATCTGATTAATTTTCGTCTTTTTCTGACTGCTTTACAAATTGGTTGTTGTAATTTGACATTCTGACGCAAGAAAAGTGGGAATAAAGAAGCGTCAAATTTATTAAAGTTACATAATTGCAATTTTTATAATTTAACTTGCCATATTATGATATTGGGGCGTGTGATCATTCACTTTTTTCTCATCATAACTAGGATAATATATAGGATATAAAAATCGAATGGATACTTTTTCAAAATATTCAATAGATTGTGAAAGTTTTTATTTCATGTCTTTTAGATAATTGTGTCGATTTAATGAAAATTTTAAATTTTTTTACTAATAGAACGGATCATTATAATAGTGTCAGTATTGGTTTATTTTTGATCAAGTAAATTATATTTATATAAGTCGAAATAGCCAATTAACATCAACAACAAAGATTAGAGTTTGTTTAATACAAAATCTATTTAACTGAATCTATATATTTTTTCTCCCTTAATATTATGCTTATTTACAGTATAAGAGGTACGCAAAGGAAACCTAGAAATATTATTGACATTCCAATATTTTTGGACCACAAATTTTTCGACATACTAGGCATATTTGCGATGTATTAAACTTTTTTGATATATTTAAATATTTTTTTGACATAATGAAAGTTTTAAAATTTCTAAGCCTAAATATTTTTTGTGACAATTGAATTATTTTTAATTATGTATATCAAAATAACTTTGAAAATTGAAATTACCCAAGAGAAAATATTTTAGACACCCATCTTATTAGTTGGAATATTAAATTTAATTTTATCGATTTTCCAAGAATTGTTACTTGATTTCGTTTTCATCATTCTGACACATCTTTTCAAGCCAATGACAACTTTGTGAATAAGGCCGTTTATTCTGATCCAAGTCCATGCATCTCTTGGCCAATTTTAACGTAACAATCAGAAGTCCTCCTATCAAATTCTGGTCTTTTAACTAGCAATTTTTACCGAAACACTGGTATTAGATTTATCATCAAATACTTTTCTTCTAGTTAATATCTCAAAAATAATGTCATAAAAACTAAGATATCAGTAACTTGTGTGAATACTTTATTTATTACATCGAAAAAAAAAAACCAATGTGCTCAAGAAGATGTGGATGTGTCTTAGCAGGAAATGCAAATTATTTAATTTCATCGAATACTGCATGTAATTAAATAAAATTTTGATCAAATTTATGTATACAAAATTTAGTTTTAAAATTTCAAATGCGTTGTAATAAATTTTATACCGGTTGAAAAATGACGTATGTCATTTTCAAATTAAAAATGATATACGTCAATTATAGACTTAAATTGATAAATGACGCATAAAATGCCTACGTCTCATTTACACTAGCAAAAAATAAATGATTTACTTTTAAATTAAATTCTATTGTTTCTTTTAACAGTTATGGGTAAAAAATTTAATGCCATAATTCTGACTTAATAATCATCAGGAATTTCAAGCAAATTAGATAATCTGTTTGTTATCTCTTTTGAATTGATGGGTTTGCTGACGTATATGTCATTCGGATGTTTTGGTGACTCAATAATAGATTTAATTTTATCAGCTTCCAAAAATTGTTTTTTTATTTTATTTTCATCATCATAGTTTTCTATTTCTTCAATCCAGTAAGTAATTAAACCATTAATAGATCGGATAGTAGGCCGTCTTTTCGGGTTTGAATCCATGCATCGCTTTGCTAATTCGATATAGCAATCAGGTGTACCAGATATAAATTCTGGTCGTAATCCTTGGCAAATTTTTATCGCGAGTTCGTCAAACTTATAACCACTGAAAGCCTTTCTTCCACTTGATATTTCTGTCATAATGATACCCAAAGCATAAATATCAGCTGCTTGAGTATACGGTTCTCCTTGTAAAATCTCTGGAGCTACATATGGTAAAACTCCATATAATTCATTTTTTGTATTAGAAAGTCCCAAATCTGTAATATAAGCATTATCCAAATCGTCTTGTAAAATATTTCCACTATGAAGATCTCGATGTTCTAATCCTTGTGAATGAATTGCTTCAAGATCTGATGTTATGCAACTTAACAAATTTAATTTTTTTTCCCATTTTATTTGCGACACTTCGTGAAGATTATTACGTAAAGATCCCTTTTCTGCATATTTCAAAATAAGTACGTAATTTCCTAAATTATCTTTCGATAGTCCGTAGCATCTCAAGAACGATGGATTTTTATATCCGATTTCACAGAATGCCTTTAACTTTTTTTTAAAAAAAATATTAACAATAAATTTAAATATTAAACAAAACATAAAAAATTTACCTCGCCAAAAAAGTCTTTATCATGAATTTTTTTAATCGCGAATGAGTATTTATCTGAAGTATCTTTATAACTAATTAGACATTTAGCATGATAAACAGTTGCAAATCCACCGTTCCCAATCTCTTGAATATTTTCAAATTGATTGTATGGAATCCATAATAATTGATACTTCTCGTCATCCAGTATTTTTTTCACGTTGTCATCAATATCAAAACAAGTGAATTTCTTTATTTCTATCCATTATTAAATCGATAAATGTATATACTTAACTAAAACCATATAATAATAAAATAATAATAAATAAATACCTTGAAATTTATTTTTTTCCCTATTAATTATCATTATTAATAAATATTCAGTATTTTATAAAAGATTTTTTAACGAAAAAAACTTACATTCGAAACCAGTACTCGGCCTCCTTTAAATCTTTTTTTGTTCCAATACCATTTCGATAACAATATCCAACATTTCTTATTCCATCAACGTCATCCAGTTTAGCAGATTTCAAAAATAATTCAAAGGCTTTTTTTAAATCCCTTTTAACTCCAATTCCATTCTGGTAACATTCTCCAAGATTACAAATTGCACAAATATTCTCCATTTCAGCAGCTTTTTGACAATAAATGAATGCATTATGTTCATTCTTTTCAACACCAATTCCCCGAAGATAACAATATCCAACATTGCATGTTCCACAAGCGTGTCCCATCTCGGCAGATTTTTGATAATAAATGAATGCTTTATGTTCATCCTTTTCAACTCCAATTACATTCTGATAGCAATATCCAACCATATTTGTTCCACGAGCGTGTCCCATCTCGGCAGATTTTTTATAATAAATGAATGCCTTATGTTCATCCTTTTCAACTCCAATACCATTTCGATAACAATATCCAACACTATGTGCTCCACTAGCGTCCCCCATCTCTGCAGATCTTTGATAATAAATGAATGCCTTATGTTCATCCTTTTCAACTCCAATTCCATTTCGGTAACAATATCCAACACTAAATGTTCCATTAGCGTCCCCCATATCCGCAGATTTTTGATAATAAATGAATGCCTTATGTTCATCCTTTTCAACTCCAATTCCATTTCGGTAACAATATCCAACATTACATGTTCCAGCAGCATGTCCTTTCTCTGCACATTTTTGATTGCATATAAAATACTTATATTCATTCTTTTCAACTCCTCTTCCGTAATAATAGCATTGGCCAACCTGAAATATTCCTTTAGCATTACCTATATCAGCAGATTTTTGATAATAAATGAATGCCTTATGTTCATCCTTTTCAACTCCAATTCCATTTTGATAACAATATCCAACACTAAATGTTCCATTAGCGTCCCCCATATCTGCAGATTTTTGATAATAAATGAATGCCTTATATTCATCCTTTTCAACTCCAATTCCATTTCGATAACAATATCCGACATTATATGTTCCTTTGACATTACCCATATCTGCAGATTTTTGATAATAAATGAATGCCTCATGTTCATCCTTTTCAACACCGGTTCCATAATAATAGCATTCCCCAACTTCATATATTCCTTTAGCATTACCCGTATCAGCAGATTTTTGGTAATAGATGAATGCTTTATGCTCATCCTTTTCTACTCCTATCCCATGTTTATAATTGTATCCAAGGGTATAAGGGTCTAAATCAGTTGAGTTATTCATGATAAACTGAATTATTATGATTTTTTAAATACGATAAAATGCAAAAATCCGAATTAGCAGTTAAAATTATTTAAATGCAAGTACTGCATACGTACGTAATACTGTTTGTTAGAATTTGTATTACCAAGAGTAGTACAACTTATTATAGCAACACCAATCGAAAATCAGGCCTCAAACTTTAAATGAATTCTATCACTTAGAATTCGGAAGTTAATTTTCCGATACTCAAATTTTTCATTGATTTTAGTTTCTGGACTGAATGAAAGTTAGAGTTTATAAATCGGAAATCGCTTAACATAAACCATTTAGAAATAATAGTTTCAAGTAGATTTGTCTGTAGGGCGTTATGAATTCGATCGCTGCTTGGAGTTTCCATTCTGGATATAATTGTTACGCCGCTTGAAATTGTAACTTCAATTTTACAATGGTCCAACATATTTTCTTTTTTTAAAAAGTCCGGGATTGACATTTGATGTGTATAACAACTGAAATCCAAACATGCGCCATTTCGGTTTGCATATTTCATACCTTAAAGATCAATCAACTCAATGGAACTAACATCGCGTGACATTACACGAATATATGTTCATTTAAAAAGTAGAATTCGTCAAATAAATTAGTGTTTAAACAACTACGTTTTACATTCAGTTTTCAGTATCAGTAAGTTGTTTGCTGGGTGTGGAAGCAGTGTTGGAAATCTGTTTTGAGATTTATTTTCTTATGTGAACAAATTTGTTTAATTTAATGTTCTCAGAAATTTATTTATGTTCTCATCGGTAAAATTTATTTATATCCTTATTTTTTAAATTTTTTATTTCGGAAAATATCAGACATTAATTCAAATTTTTGTCCCAACCCTTCTCGTCTTTCATGTTCATTCGTTTTCTTTTAGGATAAATTCGGAACTTCGCTCGATTTCTAATTTTAGTTCCATCTGGCATTATGCTATTATATTCTTATTATACTTATATAAAGAACATATGAGCTTGATGCTGGAAAAAGGGCGGAATATGACAATTTTTTCAAAAGTTGTTTTTTCATATAAATCAATTTAAGATAATATTAGGACCATTTTTTGCTTAAGACACAAAAGTTGTTGAGTTAATAAAATTTTGCAGTATAGCTTCTTAAAGTTTGCATTTTCTTATGATTTAGTATAAGATTTACGAGATAAAAATTGATTTTCTGAAGAACTTTTTTTTTGTCATTTTCCACCCTTTTTCCAGCACCAAGCCCATATATTTTAAGTATTATGTTCTCAAATTTTTTTTCATAGAGAACATTTATAGAATATCAAATGTTCTCAAATCTAAATTCATGTTCTCATGTTCTCATGAGAACATAAGACTTCTAACACTGTGTGGAAGTAGCTAGAACATAAATATTTGCATGCATTTGCTTAATATTGGAAAATTGTTTCGTTTTACCATTTGAATAGTCATTGAACACTTGAAATTTTTAAAGCGCAAAATTAAATTTTTGATTTTCAGAATCTTTGAATAAGTGTATTGTTATACGTGAAGCTATAATAGGGAGGGGGTTCGGAATTAACTTTTTTCAAAAATAAGTGGGAGCTTAAAGATCCTACTTCTT